CTTGGTGGACCACCTCCTAAACGTCAAGCTTCGCCACTGGGACATTTCCCTGCGATTGCTAACAGCGGAAGCACTTGGCAAACTGGTGCCCCTGGCTGCAGACTTCTTTTCTACCGGTGCCGTTGACGCCCTATTGCAGTGGTGTTTAGACCCCATTTTGGAGGTCCGCCATGGCGCTGGATTTGGCCTGGCATCTGTTGTGGCGGCCCTGCATGATGCTGGCATTGCGTTGTCTGTTGACAGGCAGGACAGGGTTGCCCACATTGTGACCGAGATAGAGAAGGCCCGCCTGTATCGGGGAAAGGGGGGTGGGATCATGCGCTGCGCAGTGTGTGCCATCATTCGGTCAGTGGCGGCGTCAGGGCTGGCGAAGTCCAAGAAGGCACGCTTGCGCCTGTTAGGTTCTTTGGATGATCATTTGCGGCAGGCTGTGGAAGCCATTCAAATGGATGCCCTGAAAGCATTGGAAGTGCTGTCGGGCACATTTCCCGAAGAGGAGGTGGGGGAGGCCATGAACAGGACAACCAGGAGCTACATAAGTCAGCTGCACGACGAGAATGTGGCGATCCGCAGAGCGAGCGGCCTGGCCCTTGGAATGCTCCCCGAGAGCCTTCTGTCTCCCATAGCTGGTGACGTGATGAACGGCCTATGCGAAGCCACCACGGTGGAAGACGACGTCGACGAGCGTGACGCAGAGTCGCGTGTGAATGCCGTGAAGGGCCTTGTGGAGGTGTCTGCCAAAGTTTATGACAAGCCAGGTGATCTGTCAGCGGAGGCTGTGGAGTACTTGAAGACCAAGGTTGTGGCGTGCCTGCTGGACGCGATGGAGGACTACACGACGGACAACAGGGGAGACGTCGGCAGCTGGGTGCGAGAGGCCGCCATTGAAGGCCTCAGGAGGTTGGTGATCTTGCTGGCCAGCAGAGGTGGCCAGGGCATTGGCGACGTGACGGAGCGCGTGGTGGGCCTCCTTGTTCGGAATTCAATCGAGCGGATCGGCAGCGTGCGCTCATGTGCAGTCCAGAACCTGAAGCTGCTGCTACAGAACGCGGCCACGGCTGTGTTGGTTTCTGAGAGGGAGAGGCTGTGGGAGATCGTTTCGGCAGACAATGCTGGGTACAGATTTGCAGTCGCGGAGGACCTGCACAGAATGGTGGCTTTCCTGGGGGCGCCGCCATACCGTTCCCCTCTCATGGAGGGCCTGGTGGCGAGCATTGGCGGCCTGGACAAGTCGCTGGCAGATGTCCTGTCTGCGGCGCTCGCGCAGTATTTGAATTCCATTGAAGAGCGCAGGGACAGCGCGCAGATGCGTGCCTTTGCCGACGTCTTTGTTGACGCCTGGAGGCGGAACAGCCGCTCAGGCAGGATGGGAATGGCTTTCCTGCGGACAGCTGACTTCCTGCTGAAGACTGGGTGCCTGGGTGCGGCACAAGATCTCGAACCCACGTTCCACGGGGACCTGCTCGAGCTGGCAAAGGCCGAAGGGCGCAAGTGCTCGGACGTCGGCAAGCTACTCGCCGTGGGCATGGTGCTCAGCCACCTGGCCCCCTCGGCGCTTTCACAAATCAGGGAATCTGCGTGGAAGGGGCTGATCGTCCTCCTGGGCAGCAACTACCCCAGGATCAGGAAGGGCGTCGCCGAAACCATCTACGAGCGGCTGCTGTTCGAAAACGAAGACGGCCTGGTGTCCCAGGTCATGGACAAGCTGTTGGAAACTGCCTGGGACGGGCCCATAGACCAGGCGCTGGCAGCCAGGGAAGAGTTGTGCTGCTTGTTGGGGATGCAGCCCCCTGCGCGAAAAGCGGGTGGGAAGAGAGTGCGGCGGGTTGCAGCAGAGCAACAGGCCGACGAGAATGCCTCCTATCAGAGTTTGGTGAACGACTTCCCGAGACTGGTGTAGTGAGCAGCAGAACGGCGACTTAGAGCGCCGGGGCGCAAATTCTGGGCTGGGGTGCAGGTTAGCAGCCGTGGGTACACGGTACGCACAGGTGACCTCGTTAAACATGCAGCAGGTGCATTCGTGACAACATATCCACAGCCTATCCACCAAACGTTCGAGACGATGCACATACCACGGAAGCATACTCTCCGCAACGTTCTGTGATATTCACCACACGTGAATGCGAGTAAGCCTCGAAACGTCAGCAGATTCATACAGTCAGGAAAGGACAATATCCCATGGCAAGCATCATGTACGTGTCCCCGGTGCAAACTCCCTTGAGAACCAGCAATCGCATGGCGACCGGGCTCCCAACCCAACTCCTTCACAGCCAAATGTGTCTCTATCGCCTCATGTGCTGCTGCAGTAGTAAGGGTTGGCGCCGAACTGCAATCCCCCCCAGCCCCGCCACCCATGAATTCAGCAATGACGGCAGGCTGCAGCCACACTTCGGAGCGTCCACACATGGACCCCAGAAGGACGCCCCCTGAGAGCACCACTGGACACCCCAAACTTCACACGCAAGCGTCCCTGGAGAGGTGCCCTTGCTCCGCCACTGCACCCACATTCAAATCATCCGCCTCGCTGCCCTGCTCAAACACTGCGGCTGCACCCATGCCTGACCCTATGCACATTGTGATCACGCCAAAACGCGCCGCCCTCCCCCTCCTGCGCATTTCATGCAGAAGCGTAGCAGCGCACCGGGAACCCGTGCTGCCCAGCGGGTGCCCCAAGGCGATGGCACCACCGTTGGGGTTCACTTTCCTGGGATCCAGCCCCAGTTTTGCTACAGACAGGAAAATATGAAGGTCAACACGCAGTCCTCTGCTGTTCACAGCAATGTGAGTTTGAGAGCTGCCAATCAACCTTCGGTCAAAGTTGAGAGTAGGGAAAATGCAATCACAACATAGCCATCACTGGCCATACTTCACGTGTGATGGCAGAGAGCGAGATAGAAGATAATTGCTCGTCCAACCTTTCTGTGAAATCACAATGAAATGCGGCAGGTGCCACAACCTGCGCAATTCGCTGTCTGCCGCAATTAAATTGGTCTCTACAATTGCCTCCTACTATGCTACTGCAGATTTACCTTTGTCGTCATCGAAAGAATGTGTCAAAGTCAATGGCACATGAGGCCGGCGATTGCAGTGGATTGCACTCAAATGCCAATCCGCCCAGCCATTGAACATTGCATCATTAATGCTTGTGCATTTATTACGTACAACGACAATGCAACAATTGTGGCCTTTTGGGGATGGGAACTTGCGGCATTTCCGCTTTTCCACTCTCCTTCGACCCACCCAGATGATCCCACACGATATATGATACATACATCAAGCCAGTGTCCATCAAGACCACACAGAGCACCTCCAAGACAAGAAACATGCCAAAACCATCATGGAAGCCCCAAAAGATTAATCTACAGCCACAAATATGCCTCTGGATATTGTAGCCTTTCAGTAGTGTGATGGATGTCAAACCACCTGAGGGAACAAAGCGCAAGCCGCTAGAAGACAGCATTGCCGTTGGAAGCCAGCAATGGTCAAGGGTCTGACAACCAAACACATTGAAAGGGCAGGCAGGAAGAGTGTAAACAATGGAAAACATGTCTTTGCAGCCACAGCTCCACTGGCGTCCGCCTGCAAAAATGATGGTATCGCCAATTTTTTCCACGATCATTCCTTCAAGGTGAAAGGTGAAGGGGGGGGGGACTGGAAACGGAATGCCAATGGGTTAGTTCGTCCTGACCATTTGCAGCTCTCACCCTAGGGGTTCACAGTTCGGTTCACAGCGTCAACTTATAACAGGCACAGTTCAAATGTTGTGAAAGGACGGGAACTATTGTTGTGCCAATTGCCCAACATTGACATGAAGTGTAACGGCTGGAGAGCCATTTCCTAGGTGTGGATCTGCATCTGCGTGTTTGACGATTTGCCACATGTGCAACCGCCCGACTAGACCTCCCTCGACAATATCACAGAACCCAACAACTACATCGATGACTGTCTAGCTTTGCTGCCTGACAACTGGATGGTTCTTCTTCTAGGGAATACCTCATGGACTATCTCCTCCTCAACATATTTGGATATTGTCGCATACATGAATAGTGGCATTGTGCAGCATCACTTGCTCTCAACAGAGAGACAAGAGTTTCACTCCCATGCAGAATATGTCACAAGTGAGTCTTAGCACTGTCCACTTGTTACCAAGAACAAGGGACACAAGCCATCCCCTGGCAGTGTCCATTGTTGGTTGTTGGTGAATAACTTGGCACATTGTCTGGGAGGGGGGGCACCTGGCTCATGCATGTCTTTTACCAATCCATTCGCCATGTATTGGTTGCAGTTAAGGGCTTTCATGATGGCTCTGCTCTTTGAAATAGTCAACTTGATTGATGATAACATGTTCATTGTCTTGCTGCCAACTAAGTATTTGTTGCGCTCCATCATGTAGTTGCAACGTGGGTAAAAATGATGCTCAAAAATCGCTTGTGATTAGCAAAGCAACAACACAAGAGATGATGATTTTAAGAAGGATAAGTGGATGTGCGCATTGGCACCACATTTAGAGGGAAGATAATCCCTTGATGGTGCAGCGACAAAGGCATTTGGACCATTTCACATTGTTCACAAGCCTGGGATTCGTTTGGTGGCAACAATTCTGAATGAACGTTAGAATATAGGTATATGAGGATATTCAGGACAAATATGGAGACATGGGATTGTTGAAAGCCGCAAAGATCAACCCCATGTGCCCATTTGCAGGCAAACTGTTGAAATGCGGTGCGAGTGTGGTCTTTGAGGACAAGTACGGAGACACGGCATTGCTACAGGCTGCAATGGGAGGTTCGAACCATGTCATGAAGAACTTGCTGACTTGTGGAGAATGCCAACCATATAAATGAATGTGGGGAAATGGCAGTGCACCTCTCCATAATGCACAGCCACGGTGCTGTTATGGAGAAGTCGCTTGTTTTTGGGAAGACTTCAAGCATTGAGACAAGTATGGGAAAACGGCACTGATGCGTGCTGCCTCAAAATGCTTCATATGCCCAATATGGATAGCTTGGTGCCAGTCGCACTTTTGCATTGCACCCCATCAAGGCGGATGGATGGCACTGATGTCTTCTGCAATGCCGAATTCCCAAAACCAGGGCTGTGGCATTCGTAGCCACTCGCGACAATGCCATTTTTCCTCATACTTGTCTCAAGCTCAATGTCCATGCCAACAGAACGCAGATTCTCCACAACAACTAGGTGGCTGGCCACATTGGCAAGATGCAATGCCATTTATCCATGGTCAGCAGCCACACAATCAACCGAAAATTCTCCAGACAGGTCCATGAAAACCGTAACCTGCAACAATGTCATGTCTCCTTACTTGTCGGCAAAGCTTACGATCGCACCGCAACCCAACAATTCTCTACAACAAGCATGTGGCCCATCTCGGCAGCTTGTCGCAATGCTGTCTCCATAATTGTTCTTGAAATTCACATACACCCATGCTTTCTGTTCTCTTTTTCAGCCAAAAATGTTACTGTGCAACAAATCCCAAAGATTCCATAGCATTGTATGAGTAGATTCCAGCCAAATACCCTTTGTCAGCCCCACTTCACAACAGAAACTGCATGCCAATGTGCACGTGTATTCTGCCTTCTCCACTTATCATGTACTTCTTCTATTCCAAATGGTTGTCACAATTGCCTCTGCAGGTCATTTAGTACTGAAAACAGTTGTATGTGAACATTGATGCACAATTGTGCTTTGTGAATTCCAGGGACACTTTTCCAAAAGTCAAATCAAGATATCAAATACCAAACATTTGGCCGTACTTTGATCCAGCATGACTCTTAATTTAGCAAAACCCACTTCCACCAAACAATTGCAACATTTAGACTCTACGGTAACCTTTTCAAATGGGCATACCAATGGCAAATGTGCAAGAATTGCAATGACACACGTATAAAGATCGGCACATGCACCATGAAGGCACAAGCATGCACAAATACTGATCGAAAATTTTGCTTGTGCTCATATGGTTGATGGATGTAGACCAAACTGGGAGACTATGTAACAGGCCCGTGTTTGTGTTAGTGTGACATGACCTACCCACAACATAAGCAGCCTGAGATGCAAATGCTTCATTGAGCTCGAAAATGTCGATGTCCTCCACAACCAGGCCAGCCTTCCTCACAGCGGCAGGAATGGCGATTGCAGGCCCAATGCCATTGATGGCTGGGTCAACACCAACAGCAACAAAACTTCGAAAGATGCCCATAACTGGCAGTCGCCGCTGCAAGGCCTCACGTCGTGTCATCAACAGCGCTGCCGATGCACCATCGGTGATCTGATGCAGGCATAAGTGTGGGGTTATTCTACCAACACACAAGGGAACATCTACAAGAGAAGACATTCTATATTTGCCCAAGTCGCATGAATTGTGCACACTCGTTCGATTCATTATTTGGTCTCGTGCTCAGGCACAAAACTGCATGGATGAGACTGTGTTTCTTGGCTTGCCTTCCTTTTGGCATCTAGCAACTGACAAGATGAGTCACCAAACATCTTGGCGATGGCCACTGCTTCTAGCACAATTAAGCTCCTCAAATGTGACAACTGAGACACATGCCCTGTAAGGTTCCTCCAAGTGCTTTCTAGTACCCGTGATTGTCGGGTTCAAAGTCAACAAATACATACCTCACACAACTTCATTCAGGAATGTATATCAATGCGTCTGCAGTGCTAAGTTTGAATGCAAGCAACACAGCATGTGGCTGCAAGAGATGCACAGTGCAGCACTAAGCCCTAACCCCTAGACAGGCTCCATGTGATAGAAGCCAACCAACACTTGTATTCCCACTTACACCATCCTGAACATTGTTCCTGGCAACATATCAATTGCCACACCTGTGAGGAGTTGCCTGCAGTTGTGGTGCCCCCTTCCTTGAAAGCAGGCGGAAGTTTGGCCAGCACGGCAGTGGACGTATCAGGACGGATGCCATCATCTTCACTGACCACAACGTCAACAAGCTTGCCAGTTTTGGGATGTTTCACCTGAGCATCAGGTGACAATATGTAAGGAAACACAGTAATCAAATGAATGCAAAAACCATTTGACGCAGCAATACAAAATGCGAAATACATCAGGCAATTGCCGAATGGATTGACCAGTCAATTCCAAATCCACTAGCTTGATGATTTGTTGATTTGGTGCTGACTGCTGACTGTGCCGAATACACCACCCACAAACAAACGGTCCCCTCTATGGCTAGCAGCAATGCCATCTTTCCAGATGCAGCAGCACATGCAGCGATACTTCAAAATTGGGACTTTTGCACCAGATGTGCATGTCCAACGACTGCTCAGCAGCAACACACTGTACAGCAGAGGCAGGCAGCTCCGCAGATCAAACACAAGACCAGCTGCAACTGAACACACAAGCAAACGCTCACTTTCGAGAAAATTATCACAACACAACCAGGCAGATAGTCCCCTTCTTGCCAATCTTGCCTTTGTTGCAATGGGCACAATCTCGTCCATGAACTTTCCAGCACGTTGGGCTGCCACAGCCTTTCTGTGTGACTCTGCAGAGAATAGATCCTGCTGTGTGCGGCTCACTCCAAAACGCTGTGCCACATTCTCTGACATAATTCCCATGGGTATCAGGCAGGCGGCTGTCTCCGGCATCGTGTGGATCCTAGGGTTCAGAGGCCCTTGCCATTTGGGGGGATCCGCCAGGGACATCGTTTCCACACCACCTGCGATGCCCATGGTGTAGTATCCAGATTGGATGGCAGCCGCAACAGTGGCAATTGCTTGAAGTCCAGAGGAGCATTGCCTTCACATGGAATGGGTAAATGGTTAGGATGGAAACGATGAAGCAAAAAATTTGGCTGAAACTACCAAACACAGAAGCAGACTGGTCTTGGTAGCAACAGCGGGTTGAGCATGTAGAAAATGACAGGAATGCGCTAGGCACGTGCCCTGGGGGGGAATGGGGCAACAACAGGAGGGCTACCCAGGCCACTTTTTCAGCGTAGGCAGCCAGCAAGGCAGAAAAGACCATTAGCAAGTTGCAGTCATCTCGTTGTCATGTTGCCTTGCACAATGGATGTATACTGCATCTGCTTATCACTCCATCGAATCCTAGTGTCTGAATCGCACGCACACAACTTGCTACTGCTGTCCATGCCCAAGTTGAGCATTTCAAACCAATAGGTCGTGTCTTTGTTTGGGGCACACCTGTTGACAGTGTGGACAGGGACAGTGTCAGGGAATCCTGCAAAGAAGGCAGCTATACGGCATTCATTCGCTCGTTGACTGGACTCTCCTGCGACGCTGCCAATAACTATGTCCCCAACAGCCTAAAAGCACATTGCCACTGGTCACAACATTGCAAACGTGTGCATACAGCGCTCCAACCATCAGACACAAGAATCGTAGGCAGTCTACGAAAACTTGGAATCCACAAAGCCACAGGAGGCCAGGCCAGGCTTCAACACAGGCTTGGGGGGCATGTACACAGTGACCATGCAGCTCTATATGCATAAATGTGTCGGAGCCCGTCAAGCATCATGGAGGAAAGCTTATGAACAAATTGGACGCTGAGCACACAGACGACTTAGGCTACCAGGCGCTCACTCTTCATGGACAATAGCACCAATCCAGGGTATTCATTCCATCACAGAGCACATGCCAGACAGAACAAACAATGGGTTGTCACCTCTGGCTCAACTCCTGTCCTTTGCACCACGGCCTTGAGGACTGGTGCAAGGAGTCCATCAGTGGTGGTGTCCTTCAGGAGACCCCGCCTCGCCTGATAACGCCCATTGGTCGAGAGGTCACTCAATGATGTAGACAGTCACAAACCCAGTTGCACTGTGTGGGGGCAGGATCATGTTTAGGGTGCGGAAGGAATCGCGAGTAATATATAATCGCAAACAATCGCCAGTGAACAAGACAAGCCATGCGGGCCCACAAGAATTGTCTAGCTAAGAATATGACGCTTGGGGTGTTGGCACGCTACTTGTTGTGATCTTTGCAGCCAAGCTTAACTTGGGACAAGACTGCCTGTCCCACAGCAGATCGCGCTTTTCAAAGCGCCATACACACATTTGCGTGGAGATCGGCGAGCAGAGACAAGAACGTCAGCAAAGCCACAGTTGAGAGAGTCTGGAAAGCTGCAAGGACACGCGCGGCAATGGCCTGGCTAAAGAGCAATCTGACGCTGGAGTTCCTTTGCAACGTGGCGCTGTGTGCGCGTGCTCAGTGGCCGCTGTGGAGCGTACCTTTGTCATTGGTGTCCTGAGCGCGGCCACAATCACCACATCGTCGAGACTGACATTCTTGCGTTCGTATCCCGCGCTGTCCCCCGCCGCGCACGCAGCGGTCTTCACGCACACCCAGTCAGCACAGGCCCAACAGTCTAGGAATCAATTTTCCAGGCTGAGCGGAATCTCGCGCGCCCACTTCCCGCACAAGATCGTCGATTGGGAGATTCCTCCACCCATGATCCCCAATAAAGATCCCCCGATCTCGTCACCTGCACAGCGCCCCTTCCGACAACATCAACCTGTGCGCCGCCCACAACACACAGGGGCGTGATCAGATTGTCAGGAGGATGCCAGCGTCGGACAGTGAAGGCGTTGAATCAGCACACATCAACCTGTGGTTGCTTTCTTGCCAGATGTCGCGCTCCGCGGATTCCGAACGGCCGATCCGGCCGAAGCGACGGCAACCGGCAAACGAGCCAGATTCCGTCTGCACTGGAGCGTCACGACTCAGATCCAGCGCGAACACAACCCGGGCGCCTTGGCCTTGAGAGCCGAGCCAAACGGACCCACCGTCTTGAGGTGACGAGCGATCGTCCCAAGGCGCTGCCCCCACGAAGGGCCGTGGCCGTCCATCCCGGAAGCGCTCACCGCCGGCGCGCCTCAGCCGCGAAGCTCTCGCTCTCGAGGAACGTCCTCGCCACTGGAGCGAAAGCGCAGTTGCAGAAACAGCGGTGCCGGGGCAGGCTCCTTTTACTTGACAGCCCTTGCTTGGCGGCGCAGCCCGGAGACATATCCGCTGGGGTGGCTTGGGAGGAGTTTCCTCCACAACAGCGTGCTGACTCTGCCCGGCATCTCCCTGTCACGGACTCGTCTTGGGCTGACATGTAGAATCCTGAACCTCAAAAACCAGCGAACAAACTGCTAAGAGCCTTGTTGTGGGCAGGCGCCATTGTGCAGGTGCTGCTTGGTAATCCAAAATCCGCGGTAGGCCAACTCAATCCATTGCAAGAAATACTGCGGATCAAGGCAAGCAGGCACCGAAAACGTTAGGGGCCCAATTCACTGCGACAATGCATCGCGAAGCCATAGGGCCCGAGGATTTTTATCCAGGGTTTGTTCCAGCAAACTGACTCCGGTCACACGCAACAAAGTGCACCAAAGCCGAAATAATACTACTGCTTGCATTAAATCGGTGATTGCCTGCAACAAATAACGTGTGCGCTATGTCCTAGCCTCAGTTTGAGGGTTAGCTTTATGGTCAGGGTGAGTTTTAGGGTCAGGGCTAGGGTTAGGGTCGATTTAGGGTTAGTTTTTTAGCGTTTAGGGTTTAGGTTAGGTTAGTTTGGAGGGATTTGGTGCAAGCAGTCATCAATTTGGTGCAGTAAGTCACCGATTTGGTGCACCCACCCCTTGTATGCCGCACAAAGCCCGCCTTCGCCAGGACAGCCCTCCCACAGACTGACTCAACCCTGCGCCACACCGAAATGTCCTCATGTCGCATGTTCACCCCACCTCCACGCCCAATCTAGCCCAGCCGTGGGTGGGACCCGGCCCTCCCCCCCACCCGCCCCCCACGACCCCGAGCCCCTCCGCCCGCCTCCTCCCTGCGCCAGCCTCGTAAGTAGCGGGCGAGCCATGGCGAGCCTCGAGGCCGAGCTGGCGCGCTTCGAGTCGGAGCTCGCTCAGTGCGGCGCGGAAACTCAGCAAGTCGGCTCAGTAGCTGCAGGCGCGAGCGGAGCGTTCGATGGAGGCCCGGGGCAGCGGCCGCCGGGGCGGCTGCCGCCCCCCAAGATGGGACCCCCCCCATCCCAGGTGAGGGTACGATCTTCGAGCAGCGGCGCAGTTCGAGCGCGGTTTGATCGTCGGAGCTGAGAGACGGACGCCGGGGGCGACGGTCGGATGCCGGTTCCGAATCCGCGCGATTTTCAGCGCGCGGGAGGGGCTGGGCTTCTCTGTTGCTGTCTTTCTTCTCCTTGGAATTTGGCCCTTCGCCAGTTGCGGTGCGGTGCGGTTGCACACTTGGAAGGGTAGGAGTGGGCTGCCCGGATTGGGGGGGGGGCGAGCGCCGTCCCCGCGGCTAGAAGGATTGCTGTTCTGGGCAGCAGCGCTTCTCTGTCGACGCTACGCGACAAAAATATCTGCGCGAGCGCTTCCAGCCCGGGGAAAGCTGTCCTTTCTGGAAATGCACATCATGCGGTGAAGGTTAGCCGACGGAGCACACCAGGAAACTGCTTTGAACACTTTTGCCATCGCAGGGAGGCGCAGGGCAACGCTCATTGAAAGCCGCGATGCCACAAAGCACCACTTATTGTTTAATACCCATGCATCGCAAGTCCTCAACCCTCAGTCGCACACCAGATAGGCAGCGCCGGCTTGTGAACAACGCGTTCCTCTCCCAAGCGGGCGCTGAAAGGAACCAAGTTGAACTAGGCAGTCGATCCTGGTTGGGCGATGAAGAAAATAATGGGGTGCTAGGGATTGCTCAAGCCTGCCAGGGGTTCATCAGTGCTAGGATCAGTGCAATGTCACAGGCAGTGGTCAGCAATGGATGACCTGCTTCCCTGCTTTCATTGCCCAGCAGCTGACACAAGAGCTGAAGAATAACAACATCATGCCCCCCGAGCCATGGTAACAAAATCCAGAGTTTGTGCACTGCGTTGCACTCGATTTCCTGGCCACAGTGGTAAACGTATGTTTCAAAGTTTCAATGAAGAGTTGTCCATCATCAGATAGAAGTGTGCAAGAAACGGTTCTGTCCTGTGCACAAGAACATTGTCCAAGGAATTGACTAAGAACCAGTACTCTTTTGGGACCAGACAGTTGTGGGGAACAGGCTTTATTGCCAGTGGGTGCAGTAACAAGCGAAGCTTAGGGAATCCTTGCCTGCTATGTGCACTATGTTTTGTCTTTGCGCACAAGCAGATTCGAGGCAGTTGGAATAGGCCTTGATCGTTGCTGGGTGGATCTTTGCCTCTCACAGGTCGGTGCACCCCAGAAACCGCCTGGGTCTTCACCAGGATGGTCTCCTTCATCTGGAGGCCCACCACCTGCTGTGAGGCCTCGTCTAATGGCCCCCACGCAGAGGCCGCCACCTCCAATGCCACCACAGGGGATGACACAAGAGGTAAGCAACAAATGTGTTTCAGAGTTCTAGTGTTTTTTGGAGTTGTGCAGCTAGGTGTGCGGGCATGTAGTGTTGATTGTGGATTGCCTTGTCAGCTTCATCAGTGTGATCAAGAGGATTCATGCCATATGGCTGGCATGAGAAAGGCACAGCAGACGGTGGCAGGTGCCTGCTATGTAGCGATCTTAACAGGTGCGATGTGCTGCCAACATTATGCAAAGTGCCAACGTTTGAATTTTTGGTGTTCTTAAACTGCTTGCAGTGCCTAAGGTCAACTGCTCAATATCTGAATTGCCATAGGTTGCAGGATGCATCAACTGTAGATTGCATTCTGTAGCCTGTGACATTATGCAGCAACACTGGGAGTGCTCTTATGCCACCACCAGGAACAAGTCTTCCTCTTTTGGTGCCTTCTTTTCTCTGCGGCAATGCTGCAGATGTCATCGCGCACATCAAATCATTGTTTGGGGTACCTTTGGTTCTCAATCTACTCTTCACAAAGTACTGTTAGATCATCCTTCCACTCGCTCAGTCCCTTTTGCTGCAGCTTTCAAGTTTTCCGTTAGTATCAAGTTGCACGAAGTGGTTGGCAACTCAAGTTTCTTGTGGACCCTGCCGCCCAAAGGTGTGCAGGTGCCACAGTGCCAAACCGACGGTTGATGTGCACTTCATCGTTTTGCCAGAATCGTAGGAGCTGCTGTGCGTGCCTGCAGACTATGCATACCTCAATAACAACTGTGGGATATGGAAGCTGGGTGCTGGCAAGCAAAGAAACATTTGGGTTGCATGGCCAGCAGCCACTGGCATGTTGCATATTGATACAATTGCAGACCGTGGGTAAACCAAAAAAGTGTGAACCAGCATTTCCACTGGGCTTTGTTACTGCAAAGCATGCCAACAGAAGATTACCTCAGCTCAAGAAGCGTGGTAGTGACCTGTCCATGCTGCTGCTATGGTCCTGCTCACCAGGGAGGCAAGTTCCTGTCTGTGCTACTTGTGGAATTCTGATCACAGCAAGTGTCGCTGTGGCCACGCTGAAGGAACCTGCTGAAGCGCCCATGACTGATAGTGGAGCGTATGGAAACCATGGATTGCCAATGCCACATTCATGGGTTGCTATGAGGGGTGGCAGACGTAAAAGCTTTTGCAAAGCTCTGACTCGTGCATAGTCAACAGGGAAACAATGAAGCAATATTCGAAATTGAATAAGTTTGTGACAACTGTGACAACTCACTGAGATAGGCAGGTTGACAATGTGCATTGTGCCAACAAGGTTTTAGGTATTGGAATCATCAAGACACAGCTGGAAAATGGACCATGGTGATTCATTGCCTGAAATATGAGGGGTTGAGTCACCACAACAAGATCTGTCCTGCGGTGGATGTGAAAGCACAAATTCGCACTCAGAAATCGCAACATGGAAAGTGGCCAACAAGTGCTGCGCACAATCACAGCTGACTTGGCAAGATGGGCATTCACAGTGTCTGAACCCCCAATGGTTGCAACACCCCCACAATTCTGCCATGGTGCTGCCAGCAAGAGACAACAGGAACGCTGTTTATGCTGCTGCTTTATCCACATTTTTGGCACCCTTGACGTGGTCTCTGCCACAGGGACCTTGCGACAGCCTCAATGGAACTTGAATGAATGAAATGTATGTGCGCAGGGGTACAGACCCATGCACCCGCCGGGTCCCCTTCCCATGGGTGCCCCACGCGGACCTCCACCACCCATGGCCCCTCATCCTGGCCCTGCGCCCATGAGGCCGCCAATGGGCCCGATGGTCCAAGCACCTGGTCCAGGCATGTTGATGCCGCAGCAGGGGGAGCCTGGTCAGCCTACTGTGGCTCCTGGAGGTCGGCCATATGGCCACGGCCCGATGGTTCCAGCAGCTCCCATGGCGGGACCAGCAGGGCCAGGAGGCCCCTCAATGGGCCCCATGGCCCGCCCCACGTACACATACAGCGGAGAGGGCTATTACCCATATCAGCAGGGAATGGCAGGCAAGTACCTCTGTTGCTTGTTGCTGGTGCAGTCTGTTGCCCTGTTATCTTGTTGGATTTGTTGTTTGCTGGGTAGGTCAGAAGGTGTTGTTCCCTTGTGACATTCATTCCCTCACATTGCTTTCTCATGTTGGTGTCCTGTTGGGGCGAAGAGCTGTGTCCACACTGCACACCAAATGGCCCTGATATTGTTGCGTCACAGGTGGGGCCATGAGTAGCATTGCTGGCCCATCAGTGCATCAAACAGAACGAAAAAGTGCATTGATGCACCTGGCTGCTCAATTCTTTTGTCAGCTGCATATACCCGACGTTCTGAGAATACTGCCTAATTCACCAGCATCTGAAATAACAGACATATGCACTTGGATTCCTGGAGGACTCCTTCTAATAGCAGTAGCACTACGGGCACTGAAACGCTGGCATCTATCCTTTGACTATGTGGAGCTTATGCCTGAATGGCCTGGCATAAGTCTTCATTGATTCTGTTTTTTGAAAGTTTGAGTGATCTGTGCTCTTGCAGCTATCAGGTGACAGTGAGTACCTTTAATATTGCACAAGGGACTGCCCCAAATTGTTCCCACAAATCCACATTCGTCACCAACTGGCCCACAGGCATGAATAGTTGGAGAAGTTGGGTGAGCGTGGGCTCGAGGACTGCACAAGCCTTCATTTGGCACTCTGAGTATGCACATTGTCCCTGTTTGTAGCCGTGCTATAGGTGCCACAGGTGCCATAGGGGACATAGTGTACCTGTGTACTTGTTTGCTCACAGCAGGCTCAGAGCATTCGTTATGCTCTCACCAGAAGTGCACAGTTCACATGATGCACACCTTGCGGGCTAACTTGCACAGCCACCCCTTGAAATCGAAGAGAGTGTTTCCAATGGGCACATGTCCCGTCCTCTGTCCACCAAGAGCAGAACGCCATTGTTCTGTGTGTTGGCGTGTGCATCAGCTTATGCATGATCCATTCGCTGACGGCTCCACGCAGTGAAGACGTGGTGTGCTGTCCCTTGTCTTGCAGGTTCAGCAATGAGTAACCCTGCAAACACGCCAGCAGCAACACCAAACCCAAGCATCGCTGCTCCTGCCCAGGTCGCCTTGCCATCTGAAGATGGCGCCAAGGGCTCTAAGGATGCTGCAGAGGGTGCCGAAGCCAAGAAGAGACAAGCAGTTGCGAGGAAGGCTGCAGGGGTGCGATGGTTTGATGAGACGCTTATGGACTGGCCGGATGACGACCACAGGATATTCGTGGGTGACCTGGGAAACGAGGTGAACGATGACATTCTGGCAAAGGCCTTTTCAAAGTACCCAAGCTTCTATAAGGCAAAGGTGAGTACTGTTGAGCCAGATTCAGACAGAATCTTGAATGTGAATGAAGTGTGAACCAGACATGGCAAAGGCAGCAATACACAGGTATTGGCATCTGCTGTTGTACATGCTCAACACACGAGATTGAAGAAACAGTGGATTATGTTGCGAACTAAACGGCAAAGCGATTCACCAGCATCTGTACTGGGGAATAATGTCCGCAAACCCTTCAGCTATACAAGGCCAGTATCAACGACTTTATCCCAATGGTCAACTTAAAAAAATGTTCAATGGCCACACAGAAAATTTTCTTAGGATCGCTGGCCTTGAGATGGAATGTTGGATAAATGCACGTCAACAAGATCAGATGCGAATTCTGTAGCCACAAATTTCAAGTTCACTTTTAAACTGACCTTGCCTGGTGCACGCCCAGGCTAATATTGTTCTATCATGAAGAAGTCAAAATCTGTGTTATCAAGTATGGGTGATGGCTTGCAGTGTCCCAGGTGTATCTCCTCCAAACTTGGCCATCTACAGCTTATCCTATGTTTTCAGCAGCCTGGCTGCTTCTACGGTCTTCTTCGATGGAATGAATGTGGGATGAAAAACAGAAGGGACATCGCATTTGCTGAACAAGAGCGCACGGTCATGAGAGGTTGCTTGGATGGTATTCGACAGATATCACATAGTGGTCCATTCGGCTCGAACAACAAAGCTGAAGTGCAACAGTCCTGCTGCCTGTAGTGGCTTCGTGCCCCACAGCGAATCGGCACACATTGCAGTTGTAAAAGGCAAGACAGCAGCTTCATACCCATTAGGTGTGCCAGGCTACTGTGAGCTCACAAGAAGAGTTGAGGTGGTGTGCAGGCTATCCTGTGAAATTGTGTCAGTGCTGATGACTCCACGACATGTCGCCATGTTGATGGGAGCACCCTGCTGTGCATGATTCAGTGTGCTGTTGCTACCTATTGATGTGGTGTTGCCACTATGTGCACATAGCCTGAATGGCTTGTTGGCGCAGCCTTGGGGTTTTGGCGTACAGCACCACAAGATGGCCTGAAGAAGCTGCTTCCTGCTGCATAGGCTACCTAGCCTTGAGAATGGCAACCAACTATACTCTGTTACATGTGGCCAGGTGTCCATCTCTGCTTTTAGCCTGGCACATTTTTTTAACTCTTGATACTTGTTATGGCAAAGACTGAAGTCGTCCCCCAGATGCTCACTCACAGTCGGCCCCAGGCACGGGAAGCGAGGCCGTAACCAGATGCATTACAGAGTGAATGTACCAGCTAAATAACTGTCACTGCAAGCATGTTCATCTCATGTCTCCATTGTCCCCATATACATTTCGCCATAACATAGCTCCATGTTCACCATGTACACCTTTCACTGTAAAACACCACATATCACACTAGCACTCGATAAGTTTTCCCTTGTCCTCACACTTGTCTTGTCGATCTGTTGCCATGTTGTGTCTTTCTGCTCATCCATGATGAAGCGGACACTGTGTGGTATCCTCACACAGTGGAGGGCTTGTCACCTAGACCATGAAGGAACCCATTCCTCAATGTACTGATGGCGCACATGCAGGTGGTCAGAGATAAGAGGACCAACAAGACGAAAGGGTATGGCTTTGTCAGCTTCATGGATGCCAACGACTTCGCAAAGGCTCTGAAAGAGATGCAGGCAAAGTACATCGGGAATAGGCCGTGCAAATTGAGCAAGAGCTCATGGAGGGAACGAAATGACAGCCATCCCAGGAGGAAATACAAACCGAAGCCTCCGAGGGAGAGGCCCCACGAAAGGAGCAAGGGGGGCCGCAAGATGGCGTGACAGGCGCAGCAGTACAGCTGGCAGCCAGGAATGGCGGCAACACACGATTGGAGGTGCTGCATCGTGGGCGAGTGGATCCGAAAGGGCATGCCATCCCAATAGGATGCAGTCTATTGAGACGGGCCCCAAATGAGAGTTGGGGAACAAATGTGGTGCTGGTGTGGGGTCTGCTGGTGTGGATGGTAACCAGCATGTTTTGATCTGGGAGCATTTAGCTTGGTCTTTGCCATCCAACGCCAGTGTGCAGATCTTCTTGAGTCAACTCACGATTGTTGGACAGCTTGCAAATTGGCAGTGGGCCGACGTCAGCGAATAGTGGCAGTGCACCCTGTGCCCTGAAAGGCGCCTGCCTGCCAATCAACTTTGCAAGACATATAATCAAAAACTTGCGTCAGATTGTCCAGAATGTCCTGAAAACACAGACGCTGCCAATGTAAAACTTGTGCTCTTGTCAGGTCGCGAACTTGTCTACAACAGTTGTTTGTGCGTGTGTCTTGTTTTCGAGACAGACTCAAACTGCAGCGGCATCATGTAGTCCCACCTTCGAGGCCAAAGTGGAGATGTCTAAAGACACCGACAACTCGCTGCCTCAAAGTATATGTGTCCGTAGACAGGGACCCCAAAACGGCGCTAGAAGAGGCACTGGACTAACGGACGGGTCATGGATACCGATATGATTTGGGGCCGGCTTACTGTTTACGTTTATGGCTCCATGCGTAATAACTCGTACATAGAGAAACGGCGATTTTTACAGCCATATTTATGCATATTTACCGCTTGTCTCCACGCCCAGATTACAAACGGGCAGGTACGGGCCCAGGATTTGCCGTGTCGGCAAGACGCCGGACTCCGCAGCAAATCTGTTGAAGTTGCGGCATTTGATCCCCAGAGGCATTTCCTCTTAACGTTGTGACCGAGTGATGCCCCCAAAGAATAGGCTTCTGCCGCACTGAATCGGTGACTGCTTGCACCAACTCCCTCCAAAACTTACCTGACCTAAAACCTAAACACTAAACCCTGAAACTGAAACTGAACCTGCCCTAAACCTAACCCTTACCGAAAACTCACCCTAATACTGAGGTTAGGACATAGTGTGCACGCGATTTGGTGCAAGCAGACACCGATTTGGTGCAGGCAGTAGCCATCCCCGCTACGCGGAACTTTAACGCCAAAGCCCCCCACCCCGCCGCTAATGCCCCACCCAGCTGGCCCCGGTGCATTCGGGATTGCCACCCACCAACGGGCTCTCTCTCGCGCTGCCGGCACCCGTGCGCGCCGCGCCCGGCGCCCGCCCCGCCAACCTCTAGACGCCCCGCCCTTGCATGAGCGCCATGGTCCAGAAGCCGGCTCCGCAGGGCGAGAGGGGCGGCAAGGGGGGCAGGGCCCACGGCCACTTAGGACTGGGAGCCCGCCAGGTGCGGCAATGCGCGACCGCGCGGCGGCCTCGTCCCCGCGGTCCGCTTCCGCGGCGGCCAAGCCTGTTCCACAGCGCTCCGCTGCGCCGAGCGCCCCTCGAGCAATCGTCCCCGGGCTGGCATCGCCCGCAGGAGTGACGGAGTCGCGTTGAAAGTTTGCTCGCCGTCGGCAAGGCCACCCGCAAGAGCCGCGCGGCGCCAATAGCCCCCCAGCTCGCTTTGCCATGCTCTTCTTGGCCTGTGGGTGCATGCAGTCCCCGCGGCTTGCGCGCGCGAGGCTGGTGGAGCGTTCTGGTTGCCGCTTGAGGGGCCAGGTGGGGACCCGCGCTTGAGTATGCCTGGCGCCCCCATGCCGTGCTGACGCGGCTGCTGGCCCCCGCCTCGCAGGGACGGGGGAGGAGCGCCTCGCCGCGCGGCCAACGGAGCGCCTCGTCCGCCCAGGGGAGACAACATGGGAAATCAAATGTGCGAAGGCAAAAGGTGGGCGGGGCGCAGGGCGAAGGACGGGGGGAATGGGCTTTGATCCCGTTGTGAGGCGTGATGATGGCCGGAAGGGATGCGCCCCCTTGTGCCGTGCCTGCCATCCGACGGGCTCGCTGTGTTGGGAAGCACGGACGGTCCTGCTTGCGGTGTGGGGGCGATTGGCACCATTGCTGCTGGTGACTGGGTTGGAGGGGCTGGCCCTTAGGGAACTGTTTGCTTGCCTGCCTGCCTGTGTCCACCACGAATAAGGCGCATGGGCGACAAATGGGAGTACCAAGTCTTACGTTCCTGCCAAAAAGAACTGGGGCCTCTTGACCTGACAGATGGTTTCATTGTCACTGATGGGCGGCTGTGGCTTGCAGGCCGCTCCCGAGTGCCCTTTATGTGTTGAACAAATGGATGCTACAGACCTTAAGCACAAACCATGTCCTTGTGGGTAAGTTGAAACAGTTGGCTGCGGGGAGAAGCCCACTGAAGTGGCAAGTGACAATATGCACCATCTGTGTCCTTCTTGGCAGTTTTGAAGCCTGCACCAGGGCTTGCTGATCGCCCCAGCTGGGTTTGCGCTTGAGCAGCCGCAGCGACGTGTGGTGCTGGATGCAAGCAGGATGTGTTGGTACAATGTGGGATTCTCTGGTTGAATTCTGAACTGTGCTCTCAGTACTTGGGTTGCCGTTGTATAACTGTGAGCTTAAGCCCTTTCTTGCCAGTGCATGGAGGCTTTGCAACTCCAGCTTATCTGCTCCCAGTGTGCTCCTGCCCACTGTGTACTTGAAGAGTGAGCTGCACATCGCAGCCATTGAATGTTGGTGAGCCAGCTGTTGAGAGGGATTGTTTCATGAAATGGGCTGCCTGTTCAATTGCTGCCATGCCCTGTTTGTATGCGTTGTCAGACCCGTGCACTTTAGATTGCGTTTAGCTTGCGCTGTGCAACTTACTGTCAACTCACTGTGGCCTATCTTGTGTGTCTTTTGCCAGATACCAAATTTGCTTATTTTGCTATGAGCGGATATGCAAACAATACAGTGGTCAATGTCCGGGATGTAGACTGCCCTATGGCTCTCAACAACCTGAGGCAAAGGCACAACGAAATCTCACAAATTCTCTACCTCAACCACTACAAGCTCAAGACCCCCAAACACTAGCACCAGGCAGTGGGCCACAACTACCGTCCCCAAGTCCCCGACTCTCAAATGGCCTAGAATGGAATCAAGCTGTTGATACAGGCGTAAGCGTCCACAATGAGGGCTCACGGAGTGAAGTGACGTCTTGGGATGACTCTGAGTCTGGCGACTGGCCAGCGCTACAACGGGCCACATCACCATCTGAGCGCAGGGAGAATGGCTTCCTCAGACCCCCCTCCCGCAAACAGTTGGGCTCCACTTGCTCGGGTTCCATCGACTACGTGACCCCCTCTGAGGTCTCCACCGCAGCATCAAATTCCGCTGCGAGCTCCCTACCAAGGAGCCTCACCACTGCAGAGGTGTTCACTGTGGTGGGCGGCGCCCACAAGCCTGTCTGTGTGCCCCTGGAGGTTGCTTCCCTCTCCGATTGCAGGCACCCTGAGGGTGAGGAGGCCTTGGGCCAGATGCGGAGGGCTGTGCTGCATGGCAAGATGACCAGCAGGGAGGGTGCGGTGCACTTGATGGGCGTGCTGTCCAGAATCGAGGGCGAAACTGGGGAGAGGCTGCTGAGCCTTTCTGAATTGAAGCAACGGTATGTTCCCTGCAGCCAGGAGTCAGGGGATGTGGGCCAGTATCACCAGAATTGCCAGGATGGAGCGCCAGGCAGCAGTGACATGTGGCAGGGGGCAGAGCGGCTGGAGGACACACCGAGCATGGTGGTCTCAAGGCCGGTCCCAAGTGCCTCTCCCATCAGCCCGCCTAGCGAACCTCGCACCGATAGTGAAGAGGTGTCCCCCTTCGCTTCTGTGCCACCCACTCTGGGTCCCATGCATGGCCTGGCGCCTGCTCGCTCTGTCAGACAGTCGGCGCCCCAACTGCTGTGGCAGAAGAAGGGCCTCACGGGGATCGACCTGCCCTTGAGAACAACCAGTTATGGATCCAATGGGCAGGAGCGCGGCACATTCAGCCCCAGCCTGGGCCAAGGAGCTGCCTCGATGGGTAGGTACGACTTTTACAACCAGGGCCTGGGCGCCAGCACAGGTGCACCTGGCTTTCCACAGCACCCGCTTCAGGGTACTGACGGTGGCCTTGGATTGAGACAAGGCATCAGCGGGCTCTCCCAGAGGGACACAGGCTTCTCACAAAATGCTGCAACTGCAGGGATGGGCCAGGCCATAGTGCAACCTGGCAGGGACATGATGAGGAGTGGCTTTGGGGCGCCGTCTCTGCCTTCCTTGGGTTCGTCCAGTGTGGGTGGTGTGCCCGGGATGTCAGGAAACCAATGGGGCGCCCATCAGTCCGTCCAGCGCGACATGCCTCAGTACATCCCCCCCGACATCGCGGCGATTCGGGGGATTGGGCTGGGCGGGACGCGCCACGAGTCTGTGTGCTTTGGCCTCGAGCCTGGGGTGGCGCCTCAGGCGCTGCACCAGCAGGTAACTGAGCGCCTGCGGATAAATGGGGGACGTGGAGAGCACCTACAGCGAGGCTGGAAGTGACTGGCTTGCTCGCTGCTTGTACACGTCGTAATTTTCTGTGGATTCCATGTAGCTTGTTTGTTGTGCATCTCAGCCCCATGTGATTCCCGTCTTGGCATGCTTGGGGGGGCCTGTCTGTGGGAGCCCAGCCTGGGTGCAGAGGCCCTGGGGTGGTCACTGGAGTTTTCGGCACATCAGGATTCTGAGGCTGGAGCATGGGGGACGCGTCACGAAAGCCCACCTCCGAGGTTGTGGCGTTGCGGCGCCCCATGCAACATGGTGCAACTTCAAGCGATAACCTATGCTCACGATTGCGAATGTCGACCCGCAATTGCTTCACAGGCAAGGGACTGCGGAATGCAGCGGCCAGCTCCTCAGGTTGGTTTTGCCCAGTGGCCGACTTCCTTCACTTGTTTCATGGAATTACGGTTGACAGGGAGATGCATGCGAGGGCCAATTTGCGATTGTGGCACAGCCAATAGGGCGTGAAACTCCGCCATGGCCCAGTCAAAATTGTGTTTTGTTCCCCCAAGTGATGATTGATATAGTTCCAGAATAGGGCGAACAAGAAAACGGGGCAAATTTGAGCTTTCCTTTGCGAAAATTTGCACTGTTTCGTGTTGACCATCGATGCCTGAGTTGTTGATGGCAACAGCACGCGCCTTGCCACATTTGGACGACGATTCTGCCCACTGACACAGGTGTATATCGAAATGTCTACCACGTTGTGACGCTCGATCGCAGCCAGAAAATGCGCACATCATTCCAGCGCCCTTTGTGTGCTAACACTGCGACCTGCAGCGGGGGCATGCCAGTATCCGGACTCCAGGCTTGTGCAATACTGTACGTGCCAGAAGGGCATCTTCACTGGTTGCGCTTCCTCCGCTTGGAGCCAGCATTCAAGGAACTCCACCATTCACTGCGTAAGAAGATCTTCCATTCCGGGTCCAGACTTGCCTCTCTGCCTCAGTGCCATGTGGGACTTGATTCCCACTGCATACCCACCAACCACTGGCATGGATCAGGTATTGCTGCACAACCAGTCTGGGACTGGGTGACAAACTGGATAGAAGAAGCTGCCTTGGCCATGGGCGTGCACAAATCGTGCATGACCAAAGTCTCCCAGCTGGCTTAAAACAGGATTGACAAGTCAAACAGCGCCCTAATCCTGTTTCTTTGCATGGTTGATCAGGGGCAATGCCACACAGTCGTTTTGCCCTGCTTAACCTCCTGTGGACATTGCCCCTGCAGCTGCACACTCAAGGTTGCCCAGATCTCCAATGAAATTGCAACCGTGCTTCATTTCACAGCATATACATCACACAAGCAGAACAACAAAAAGAACTCCCTAACAAAAGCTGCATCATCACCCATTACATGCAGAATCCACTACTGTGTGTATGTGTCTGTTCGTTTGCCTACTCGTGACATGTGAGTGACGCCTCGTCGCCACAAAGAATCGCTCATGAAACAAGTCAAGCAAATTCTGAGCAGGAGCTCAAAACCCGGCAAATCCTGCCATAGCACTGTCGCGGCCAGGCGCCTGGCTCCCTGGCTGGTTCAACTGGCTTCTGCTGGCCTCAGTTCAGCCTGCATGCCTCCAGGCCCCCAGCTCCAAAAACCGGGCAGGCGTTCATGCCCAGCATGCTTATTTCTTGGCTTGGGACACGATGGCGCCTGCTCCGGGCCAACATTCGTCAGGAAAACGGCCCAGGCTTTGGCACCCATCCGCCCGGTCTGCTGTCCCTTCACTTGAGAGTATTGCCAAATGGAATCCAAGGAATTGCATCCCTTCAGGGCTTCACAGCACAAGCCCAAGGGCTGAATTCACTCAGAGGACGACTGTGCCCCCCCAGCGGCCTCCCCCGCCCGGGCGGCCACGAAGCTGCCGTCCTCCAGCGCCTGGTTGAGCCGCCGCAACACGTCTTCGATCGCCTCCGGCCCCTGGCCTGCGCCCCGCCCGCTCAGCAGGCTGTGGATCCGGCTGACGGCCTCCTGCGTCTGATCGTGCAGCGCGCCGAACTCGGACTGCAGGCTGGCCCGCTGTGCCTGCAGGCGCTGCACCTGCGCCCGCAGCGACTGGTGCTCCTCCAGCTGGTCCAGCAGCCTCTGCTGCAGGCTGGCCAGGTCCCTGTGCGCCGAGGCGAGCCGATCCTCCAGCACACCCCGCGCCGCACCGCCCTCCTCGCCCCCCTGCTCTCCACCCCTCTCACCATCATCCCCAGCGCTCCCGGGCGATGACTCCCCCGGTCCATCTGGGCCCTCCTCAGTCCTGCCCTCAGCATCCAGGGTTGTCGGCAGCTGGGGCCGGACGCCCCCGCCGCTCACCACCTCCCTGCAGACGGGGCACGTGTTGTGGCCCCTGAACCAGGGCAGGATGCAGCCCTCGTGGAAGGCGTGGCCGCAGGGCAGGTCCACCGCGGTGTCGCCGGCCGCCAGCCCGTCCTGGCACACCGCGCACGGCAGCTCATCGGCGGAGCCGTCGCTGAGCGTGCGGCGCGGTAGGGCGTCGACCGCCTGGGGATCCGCGGGCACCGCTGCGGGCTCGTGCAGCTCGCCCAGGCGCGCGATGATGGCGTCGAGAGGGTCGCCCCCCGGGAAGCTGGCCATCTGGATCAATCCCGAGGGCAGGAGCGCGTCCGCGCCACCGCCACCACCGCTGCTGATGTGGAACACGGCCGTGTGGAAGCCCCCACCGCCGCTCAGCCGCTGAATCCTGTCGGTGAACGTGCCGATCGTCCCGAAAACCGAGGACAGGGGCCCCAGGCCCGGCTCGCCATCCGGCTGCGCGCCCCCGGCCCGATCGGCGGCAGCCGGCTCCCCGGCCCCCGCGGTCCGATCGGAGGACGCCGGCCCTGGCGGGGGCCGCGCCGGCTCATCCTGCACGCACAGCTCCAGAAAGTCGCCCTCGCAGCGGCAGCACCGGTACAGCGCCTCCCCCGCATCGGGCGCGCTCTCCCGCACCGGTCCCTGCCGCTGGCACTCGTAGCAGTACCCCAGCATCTCGCTCCCTGGCCCCCCGCCTCCGGCTGCTGGCCCAGTGTGGAACCCCCCAACCTCCAGCGTGGCCGGCGGGCTTGACCGAATGGTCTTTTCAAAGCGTGTCGGGGTGTGGCACTCCCGCGTGTCGGCCTGGAGCCGCAGAGAGCGGGCTCGGCTGAGTGGTGAGGCTCTCGTCGGGGTTTGGGGCAGGGCGAGCGAATTTCCTCGGGGCGAACGGCCTCTGAGGAAGTGGGGCTGCGGGACACGCTTCTGCGAGAAGGATGTGGCTGGTTCTGGACAAACACTGCCCGTCGTCGGGCAATGTACGCGGACTCCGCGGGATTGAGGAGGGCGCGGCTCTTTTTTTGCGGAATTGACGGAATGTCATGGAGTGAATGCGTTTAAATCGGGATTAGGGCCGTTGGGAGGGACCTTTGGACGGCCAACGTGTCTCCGTTGTGGGCACACTTGGATTCGGTGTGAATGGCGCTGCCGCTACGCAAACTGGGTATGACTGGCTCAGTGAGAAAGTGTTTGGCACAACTCTTAAAGTTGTGGCTAGCTTATGGGCAGCGACCCTTGTTTCAGGGTGCGGTTGGTGATAAAGTCCAGGAAACCGAATTGAGCACAGTTTTGCACGGCTGGGAACGCAGTTTCGAGACGATCCGTGCAAACGGGGAACTAAAGGTTGGCGAAACGAGTGTGTGGCTATCTCGTTTTTCGCTTCGCACTCACGCGTCAAGCGATCTCCTCCGAGCTCTGCTCGGATTCCTTTCCTTAGCTAGGTTAATGTAAGGAGAGACAATTGGCAAACTGGTGTGATGGCACTCGAAGGTGTTAAAAGTGCAGAGCTTCTGACTGTGTTTTCTGCAGTTTTAGAGTAGATGGTCAGGCGCCCCGAGTGTGCCCTCCTTACCCGCGTTAACGCAAAGAAGCAAGTCTATAAACGGGTGGGCAAGGCCCCCCGAGATTTAAGTTTGTTTACGGGTGGGGCCCTTTTTTTGTGCGGGGTGTCAGTTGGAACTCGGTATGTTTGCAGTTCCCAAAACACGAAGCAAGACCTTGCACCTTGGCGGGCGGTGATGGGCACAACGGCACCCAATCAATGCATGTTCACGGTGGCAGGACGATATTTCCCAGCGATTTTGTCGAGCTTTGAGCAGTTTGAGTTTATGACACATTCGCAAAGTGTGGAGATGGAGTACCGCAACAATCCCCAAAAATGAAGCAAGCAACGAAGAGGCCCAAACCACTCGCAGTGAATCCAAACAATCCCCTTGACCGTTGTTCAACTTGTTGGTGGCATCCATCTTAAATACTTCCTCCGTTCCAGATTAATTATCGTCTATGATTTTGGGGTAATATTTCTCCATCATGCCCACACTTATTTTTATTAAAATTTCGCCTACGGTTGTCCTTTTGAGTTGGAAATACACCATAAAAATTTTAAATCAATCTATTAAGTATTGAGGATTTGGCAGTACTTTGTATCAAGGATCTTTTTGCATCGTAAATCTCAACATTTGGGGTTAAAAATGACCAAAATTTACCTTTTCCTTGCGCTCGAAAGGTTCATGTCTCACTTTTTCTGCATTAAAAATTGATAGTCAAGGGTTTTGAGATGCAATCTTTTCGATTTTGACCTTGTTTTAAAATTTTTAGATTATCTTTATAATAAATTTAACCTTTCAATTAGACGACAATTAATCTGGGATAGAGGAAGTAAAAAAGTTGTTTGCACACAACGCACCATAGGGCAATCGTTATACATGATGCTGATGTGGTTTCCGGAAATTTCCGACTTTAAAGTCTCAACAAATGTTTCAAGGAAACCACGGGATAGCATAAAATACACGGCGACTACACAACAGCAATTGAGACATGTTTGAAACTAAATCCACTCAGTTGTTGTTGCGCCCTGTGAACATCGTCAGCTACGTGGTGTACGGGTTACCAATAAATGAGACCAATCCAACATAATGATGGGCAGTCGATTTTCCTCCATACTATCAATAAGTTGGTGCCCCGTGAGGCCCAGA